ACAGGAGAATAGCCAGGAAACCACGGGGAAATCGCCAGTTCCAGGGGAGGAAACTAATCCTTATTTTTCTACTCTCCACAGCCATCCGGAGTCCATCTACAGAGTTGCCAGATCGCCAGAAAGGGTTAGCTACCGGGCGATAACCACGCCGCACGACCTATCGATTATTCGATACCGCCCTCGCCGTCCGTTAGCTATAAATGGTAGCGCGCGAGCTTTCAAGCGCACAAACGATTTCAGGATGCCACGCAAGGAGCAACGCAACCGCCAGCAGCCGAAGCCGCGATCGCGTCCAGCCCAGCCTGCGCCAACGGCCCCGTCGAACCGCGACCACCCCGAGTCGCCACCACCACTGACGCCCATCCAACGGCGACCTCACACAGCGATGGACGCCCAGGGCGCACCACCGCCGCCGGCAGCCACGGGTCAGCGATCCCGCCCGGCTGCAAAACCGACCAGCGCTGGGTCACCACCGCCGCTGGCCCCGATCCGGCAGCAAATCAACGTCGACGGGACACCCCTGCTAGCCGCACTGCCAGCTACGACGGCCAGCACGGAACCACCCGCTGACGTCCCGCTGGAGCCCACGCCGCGGGTGGAGGCCGCCACCCGATCCTCATCCTCGCCGAGGATCAGCCCGACCTGGTGCGAGGGGCTGTCCTTCGAGGACATGATGGCCGCGATCCTGGCCGAGGACGGGGTCCCGACACCGTTCTGCCTGGGCGATTTCCAGGCAGAAGCGACGCTACCTGGACGGGGCAGAAACCCAAGTCCGCCTGCCACCGGGGCCCCCGACGAGTCGATGGCCGCACTGAGGATCTCCGACATGACCACCGCTTTGGCTACCGACGAGCCCGTGACCGCCGCTTTGGCTATCGACGAGCCCGTGACCGCCGCTGTGGCTCCCAACGAGCCCATGACCTCCGTTTTGGCTCAGGACGAGCCCATGACCACCGCCGTGGCCCCCAATGAGCCCCTGACCGCCGCTCCACTCGAGGAGCTGATGGCCGCCTTGGCCAGCCACGAGCCGCCGGCCGCCTCGCCGACTGTCGAGCCGATGGTCGCCCGGCATCCGCCCGTAGCCGTTCCCGGAATCCTGGGAGCGGTCTACGAGGACATCTCCGAGGAGGAGATCATGGAGATAAGTTCCGGCGAAGACGAGGAGCCAGACCCGGCGCAGGACGCCATCCTCATCTCCGACGAGGAAGACAACGCCGGGAAGACCACGGCCGACCCACGGGATCACCCCAACGGGACCACTGCCCGCCTCATGAGCGCATCACGGGCCGCGGCAGCAGCCACCGGGACCACCAACGCGACGCCCTTCGGGGACGCGAGAGTCTCCGGAATCGCTGCCGGCGGACCGCCTGCCGTCACCCTGGACACCACCCTTGCCAGGGCTGGGGGCAGCAGCCAGGGACACCACAGCACCAGTGTCGCGACTGGCCAGGGCAACCACACGGCCCCCGCCACTCTGCCTCACGCCGACACCAACGCCGGTACCGCCGCTAGCACGCCCAACATCGCCACCGGCCAGAGGACACCCCCTCGCTCGGGGCCACCTGACGCCCGCGCCACCCTTGGGCCACTCTTGGCCGAGCTGTTGGCCTCACCAGAGGGGCCCACAACATCCGCTGACGCCAGCCGACGAGCCACAGCCCGAGCCGCCGCCGAGAGGCTGCTACAAGCGGCACCTACGCGCGTCCCTCCACCGAGGAGCGCCGACAAGGTCACCGCTGGCTGCACCATGGTCACCCCCCGGCCGATACAGAGGGTACGGCCACTGCCCGCCACGGACGAATACCGCTGGCGTTTTCACCGCGCCCCGACAGACCGCGACCCGGACGCGCCCACCGACGACCGCCCCGGCATCCTGCGCAATGCAGGCCGTCGACGCCGCGCTCCTTGGCCTGAGGAAGAGCCAAACTCGGACGAGGAGGCATCGACGGACTCCGAACCCGAACCCGAACCAGAGGACTGGGTGCGCGCTCCTGCAGGCTGGACCACGCAGGGTGGATGGCTCCCCGCCGAGCTCATCGCGCAGGTGCAGGCGCGCCTCCAGCAGCCGGTTACCAAGTACCTGCGGTACTTAATAGAGATGGGCGACACGACGTACCGCGTCCAGATCTCGCGCGGCGGAGACCGCGTCACCGTCCTTCCTCACCCCCGAGGTAGGGATGGAGTGTGAGGAAGCCTCACAACCATGTTTTTGTAGTATGTAAGATCATTTCCATTTTTATAATATTTAAGCTCATTTTCTTAGTATTTAAGTCCATTTTTCCTAGTACGTAAGAACATCTATCCTTAGTATTAAGCATTAGGACATAAGTGTTAAATACTAAGACCCACGAAGGGCACACTAAGTTAGGGATTTAGGAGTAGGGACTAGATCTAAGAGAAAAACGACGAAGAGACGACGAGCGGCCGAACACACGCACGAGCGGCCACGAACAACCGAAGGAAACGAGCGGCCGAATATACGCGCAGCCGAAGCCGGCAGCCGACCGAGCCGAAGGGCGGCCAGCCGAACCGTCTTCGGCAAACACCCGACGACAAGGCCCGATCAGCCGAAGCATGCCGTCGGCACATACGACAAAGCCCGATCAGCCGAAGCATGGCGTCGGCAGACACGACAGGGGCCGAGTAGCAGATCGGCGGCCATGACGCCAGCCGAAGTTCACCCGAAGCTCACCCGAAGTTCCCCGAAGTAAAACGACGCCACCGATCGCCGACGGCCTATAAAAGGGCCTCGACAAGCCGAGCCCGGTCTCTTCTCTCGGAATACCAGCAGCAGTCCAGACGTGCCACGGAGCTACAGGAATACATCGGAATAAAACCACGCCGCCGGCCACGTGCCTGAAAAATGGAGTTGGAGTAATCATTGGTGAGCTGGCCAAAGGGCCAACCCCTGCGGGGGAGAACTTCGAGTGCGTTTAGGTTAGGAATTGATAGGGAATAGTTAGCAAGATTTGAAGACTGTAAATAAACTCTGGACATATAATGGAACTCAATCGCGGAATATTATTTACCCTCTCGGCGCCCCATTACTTCGGGAGAGCAAGGGCCACCGGCACATGGCCAGCGTGGCCGGCAACCCTTCGCTTCGCCTTCTCTTAGAGGAGGGGCCGGTACCCCGGCATGCGGGATCGGTTTTCTTCCTGATTAGGCATCCACATTCTCTCTGCCAAGGCGGCGAAGCGGTACTCGGCCTGCGGGACCGCCTCTCCGTTTTGGAGCTCTTTTCCCGACACCCAGGGCGACTGGCACATGGTTTTGCATGGCTGGTGGCCCTCACCCGGATCCCGTTCGTTCGGGCATATCGGGGAACTGGATCTCGGCTTGCGGGACCAGTCTCCTCCGATTTCCGGACGATTCCCCATCTCACTCGGACCCCGTTTGTTCGGACATATCGGGGAAACTGGATCTCGGCCTGCGAGACCGGTCTCCTTCGATTTCCGGGCGGCCCATCCCACCCAGAGGCGGCGGGACGGTACTCGGCCTGCGGGACCGACTCGCCGTTTCGACATCCCTTCTCGGGAACCCAGGACGGCCGGCACATGGCCTGCGTGGCCGGCTGCTCTCACTTCGGGCCACTCATTCGGAGATCAGGGAACACCGGTACCCCGGTTTTGCGGGATCGGCCCGACTTCGGAAGATGCGCCTTCGTCCCAGATCTGGCAATCGGACTACGGCTTGCGGAGCCGGTTGCCCGGATTTCGGGAGTTTTTCCTGACCCTCGCCTGCCCCTTTTCGCACCCAAATAAACGTACCGGCCTTCGGGCCCGTCCTTTCTCCTGCCTGTCTCCGTAAAATTATAAATATTTCTGTAGAGGACTCCTGGGCCGACTGAGTTATTATCCTGGCCATAGCATCCTTACACAAGGGTACGTACCAGAACCGGCCCCGGCAAGATATCCGAATCTTGGTACTTGCGATAGCCATATATCTCCAGGGCAGGGGGGGGGGACCTCTCTCTCGTCCAGTGAGCGCCAATCGTACACAAACGCCGCACACTCTCACGAACTGGAACAGTTTCCACAAGCCACTCTGTTGCCGTTTTCACTCGTTTTTCTTCCTCACCGCACGCAGCACAAGATCAGCTGATCACAGTGTTGCTTAACGGGAACCGAAAAGGAGCGGTAAACTCCCAATAAGCATCCGCTGGAGGAAATCCCTGTGCATCGAGGGATCCCAAAAAAGGTGCAGGTGCGATGAGCAAGGCTAAGCCAACAGGCCGGGACAATGAGACCCAGGCCCTAGCGATAGCGAGAGCCGAGGAGGAGCTCCTGTTAAGCTTCCAACGGACGAAGCAAAAGGTGCACCACTCGCCACCTGCGTGTAGCATTGAGACGCACCCGATTCACCTTCGGCGAAGACGAGGAAGAGGTGCCACTCCCAAGAGATGCCGGGATGCAGCGAGTCCTGATGGAAAGCAAACGGGGGCCAACAAGAAGCAAAGGGTCGAAGCAAACGCGGCCGTTCTAGTGGAGAGACTGGGTGCAATGCTGGACGAAATGGTGACCAAGTTCACCGACACGAAAGGCAACAACAAGAAGGTGGTCCGCCACGTTACGCAGGGGACGATTGACGCGATGATCGCTATGAAGAAGCTGCAGCTTGACATCAGCGCGTAATTGGCCGGCGGCCATACCAAGGGCTTCACCGCTTGCGCAAGCCAGCAGACCACCCCCACGCTGTCTGGCACGGCCCCTAGTGCTACACCCGCGAGCAGCCGTGGATCTACGGCATGGTAGCCGGTCAAGCACAAACCAAAGCCCAAAGGCCCCCATGCCATGGCGGAGAGCAGAGTCCAAAACGAGGAGCAGGCCCCCCGCACCATGAAGACCAGGAAGCAGCGCTCCGATGCTATACTGATTAAGTGCAGCGAAGGATCCTATGCAGACATGCTAAGGATTGTTAAGACGGAGCCCTCACTCCAATGACTCAAGGAAGGCGTGCAAGGCCTGCGAAGGACTGCCAATGGCGGACTCCTTGTACGGATGCAGAAGTCCCTCGACCCATCCACACGGCAACTGCAAGCGGCCCTCAAAACGGCCATCTCCGGCAAGGCGGAGGTGACCGTCGTGCAGGAGACGGTCCAGGTGGAGATCCGTGATCTTGATGACTTGACCAGCGGGGAGGAGGTCACAATGGCACTATTTGCGGGAGAGAACTGCGACATCCAAAGCGACGCTGCGCCCAGAATGTGGAAAGCGTTTGGAGGAACGCAAATTGCGACGGTAAGCCTGAGACCCGAGCACGCGCGGAGACTGCTCGAGAAGGACAAGATCCGAATTGGATGGGTAGTATGCAGCATCCGCGAGAAATTGGAGCCGAGGCGCTGCTATAAATGCATGGGCTTCGGTCAAACCTCGGTAGGATGCCGCGCTTCTGAAGCTACGGGCAAAGCCACACAGGAAGCATGCTTCAAGTGTGGAGGCACCGGCCACAAGCACTATACGTGCCAGGGCAAGCCCAGATGCATTCCATGCATGCAAGGTGGCAAGACCGCGAGAGACGCAGAGCACGCGACCCTGGGCAGGATCTGCCCCGAGTACATGAAGGCGGCCAAAAGCAATATCAATGGTTAAGGTTCTTCAACTTAACCTTAACCACTGTAGATCAGCCCAATATCTACTGTCCCAGACGGTCAGCGAGCAGAACATCGACGACGCTATAATGAGCGGGCCCTACCGGCCAAAACCAGAAGGAGTCTGGCAGCAAAGCACCAATGGCGGCGCAGCCATATGGAGCTGCGGGCAGCCCCCGGGCCACCTAGCGCAGAGGGCGACAAGGCCTGGCTACGCCAGGGCTAAGTTTCAAGGGACAACCATATACAGTTGCTACCTAGCCCCGAGCTTGCACACAGACGAGTTCACAGACGAGAGAGATAGTGCAGGAGATCGCACAAGATGCTCGCGGACAGTCACCGGTGATAATCGCTGGAGACTTCAATACATGGTCCACAGCCTGGGGGAGTACGAGAACGACCCAGCGGGGTACCATCCTTCTGGACGCCCTGGCCACATTAGACGTTTGTCTCCTGAACGATGGAGCTAAATGCACCTACAGCAAGGCAGGCAGAGAGTCAATCATTGACCTGACTTTCGCCAGCCCAGAGCTCGGCCGGACCAGCCACTGGAAGGTCACGGATTTGCTCACGTACAGCGACCACACAGCTATTATCACCCAGACGACGCACAGCGAGCAGGGTCCGTCTTTCCGGCAATCTGCGTACAAGGTACACACCCGTAACGCAGATACACTCCTAAGCTGTATGGATGGGAACGTCATCACTGGCGACGCCAACACCTGCGCCGACATATTAGCTGCGAGAATCAAGGCCGCTTGTGATGCCGCCATGGCGAGCTCCACTAGAGGAAATGGAAGGAGACCAGTCCCCTGGTGTAATCACGAGATATCCGTCGCCAGGAGCGAGTGCCTCTCTGCAAGGCGAAGGTGTCAACGAAGCAGAGGGCGTCCCACGCAAGCGCTGTTCGAGACACGCTATAAGGAGAAGAAAAAAGGAACCCTTTGGCTCGGCCTACAAAATGGTCATGGGCAAGCTCCACAGACCGCCGACTCCAACCTCCCAGGAACAACTTGGAGCTATAATCTCCACGCTGTTCCCGCTGCAGCCGCCCCTCGTGCTGCCAAACATAGCTGCGAGTGAAGCGATCTTTACCAGCGAGGAGGAAATACTGTGCGCGGTGGCCAGCAGCAAGGCAGCCAAAGCCCCAGGACCCGATGGCATTCCCAACGCTGCACTTCATGCCATAATGAAGGCTTACCCAAGCCTATTTGCACAGATATACAAAAGGTGCATTGCGGAGCGCACCTTTTTAAGAGTATGGAAGCAGCAGAGACTAGTGCTCATCCCTAAACCAGGCAAGATGAACGACGACCCGTCCTCATTTCGCCCCCTGTGCATGCTCAACACACTGGGGAAGATTTTTGAGCGCATAATCTGCAACAAGTTGGAGAGAGAGATCGAAGAGCGTGGAGCAGTATCGAATCAGCAGCACGGATTCAGGAAGAAGCGGAGCACGATCGACGCGATACGAGAGGTAACGCTAATGGCAGCAAATGCGATTGAAGGCGAAAGATGGCAGGGAGGCACCAAGCCTGGTCTGGACGCTAGATGTTAAAAACGCTTTTAACTCAGCAAATTGGAGCTTAGTCCTGCAGGCACTCCAACGCGGCGGCATATCAGGGAACCTCACCCTCCTGATAGCGGACTACTTCAAAGATCGCGTCCTTCTGTACACATCCGAAGACGGCAACCAGGTACACCACGTGTCAGGAGGTGTACCCCAGGGATCTGTTCTTGGGCCAATTCTGTGGAACGTCATGTATGACAGGATCCTGAGACTTCCACTACCTGATGGCTGCGCCGTAGTAGGGTTCGCTGACGATATAGCGCTGGTCACGGTGGAGAAGCACCTGTCCGATGTCTCTGCTAAATGCAGCCTCGCAATCGATATGCTGATGTCTTGGCTGAAAGACAACGGTCTCTCGCTCGCCAAACATAAAACGGAAGCAGTGCTCATAAGCAGCAGAAAGACCGTAGAGAAGGCCACCTTCCGGGTCGGCTCGACATACGTCGAGTCCAGTCCGGCGATCAAGTACCTCGGAGTCATGATCGACCATAGGCTGAATTTTAAGAGCCACCTGGAGGCATCCAAGGCCACTGCCGCTATCTCTAGGATGATGGCCAACACCCGTGGCCCAAAGCAGCATAGCAGACGATTAATAGCTACAGTGGTGACCTCGACCATCTTGTACGCCGCGCCGATCTGGGCGGAAGCCATGAGGACTGTCAGCTACAGCCGGCAGAGTAAGTCTGTCTACAGACGCTGTGCTTTGCGCATCTCGAGCTGCTTCTGTACGGTGTCAGAAGAAGCTGCATCGGTGGTATCGGGAGCAATCCCAATAGACCTACTGGCAGAGGAGCGCAGGACTGGGAACTCGAGTAGCAGAATCCAGAGAAGCAGCACCATGGCTCGATGGCAGGATAGATGAAACAACGCGAGCACAGGACGATGGACCTACAGGCTCATCCCCGATCTGGTTCCCTGGTTGCAGAGACGACATGGTCAGCTGGACTACTACATCACGCAGATCATCACAGGACATGATTGCTTCAAGGCTTACTTGCACAGGTTTAAGCATGAGGTTGACCCGTACTGCGACTACTGTGGCAGCGCTTTTACTGAGGACGCGGAGCATGCCTTCTTCGTATGCCCCCTATTCTCTGAAGTATAGCATTGCGGCAGTCCAACGGGTGCGGACTCTTCCACACTTCCCCTTTTTTGTATATTATACTTAGCTCTATATTCTCTTTTTAATAAAAAAAAAAAACACACTCGCACACGCACACCCGGCAAAAAAAAAAAAAACACACGCACACATCACCCGGCATGAAGCCAACGGCATAAAGCCAGAATAAACCCCGCGAAGGGAAGTCCAAAAACGAGCACAAAGCTTTAAGCTTACGCGCGCAAATGGCAACGCGGTCAGTGATAGTAACAGATTCTGGCAACGCCAAGATCGATCGTGGCAGCGCTGCCGGCAGAAGTGGGTCACGGCCACACTGCAGAAATTAGGTCAATTAATTCTGGTAAAATTCTCGAGCTTTCAAGTCGTGCCGCTCCGCAAAAATCGAAAAGTAGAAGTGACAAACCGCGTGTCCGCGTCGGAAATAATTATCCTTCAGGACCTTCAAGGACCTCGAGTCAAGGGTAAGCATGGCCGCCGGCCATTAACTATTGTGAGGAGTCGTCTGACTCCCCACCAATACTGGCGGCGGCAACAACAACAGGCCTAACACCGGCCACCCGCGCCAGTAAGAACGGCCACAACACCGGCCACAACACCGGCCAGAACAGCAGCAACAACAACCGCAGCTACGTCATCAGCAACGACGGCGACAACAACGGCCACAACACCGGCCAGAACAACGGCCACGTCATCAACAGCGACACCATCAAACAGCGGCCAGCGGCCTCAACACCGGCCAGAGCAGCGGCCACAACAACAGCTCGCTCTCGCAGCCAACAACAGCGACAGCCAGCGCCAGCTATCGGCACCAGCTATCGGCACCAGCAGCTCCCAAAAACAACAACCATAGCGAAGCCGCGTTAACGGCTCGCTCCCGCAGCTACGTCATCAACGACGACAGCGGCAGCGCGCACCAGCAGCTCCCAAAGCCAACAACAACGGCGGGCATAAACAACAGCAGCAACAATAAAAACAAGCGCAGCCGGCAGCAACAACAACAGCAGCCAGCGGAAATCACAACTGCCGCCAACGCTCATGGAGAGCTATAGCCCACGTCAATAACAACTGCCGCCAACGCTCATGGAGAGCTATAGCCGACGGCAATAACAACTGCCGCCAACGCTCATGTAGAGCTATAGCCGACGGCAATAACAACTGCCGCCGACGCTCATGGAGAGCTATAGCCGACGGCATAACAACTACCGTCAACGCTCATGGAGAGCCGCAGCCGTTAACAACAAAAACCCAAAACAAACCGGCAAACGGCCACAAATTATTCTCACTTTGTAAAATAAGTTTTGTAAATAATAATCATATAATATAATAATAATTTTTGTATAATAATTAATCACTTCTCACTTCTTTGTAAACATAAGCTTTGTAAATAATCAGTTCTCACGTTGTAATTTAACCTTCGTATATATAATCATTTTCTGTATATTTAAGCAGCCAAGTTTCGCGACATAATCATCTTCTAGTTTGTGAGGAGGCCTCACAACCATGTTTTGTAGTATTTAAGATCATTTCCATTTTTGTAATATTTAAGCTCATTTTCTTAGTACGTAAGACCATATACATTTAGTATATCATTTTTCCTAGTACGTAAGAACATCTATATTTAGTATTAAGCATTAGGACATAAGCGGCCAGAAAACCAAGACCCACGAAGGGCACACTAGTTAGGGATTTAGTAGTAGGGACTAGGTTTAAGAGAAAAACGCGCTCGAGATTTAAGAGAATAACAACGAAGAGACGACGAGCGGCCGAAGAACCACGAACAGCCGAAGAAAACAACGAGCGGCCGAGAGCGGCCGAACATACACACGAGCAGCCGAAGCCGGCAGCCGATCGAGCCGAAGGACGGCCAGCCGAACCGTCTTCGGCAAAACACCCGAAGGCAAGGCCCGATCAGCCGAAGCATGGCGTCGGCACACACGACAGGGCCCGAGCAGCAGATCGGCGACCATGACACCAGCCGAAGCTCACCCGAAGCTTCCCGAAGTCGGGAGTAAAACGACGCCACCGATCGCCGACGGCCTATAAAAGGACCTCGGCAAGCCGAGCCCGGCCTCTTCTCTCGGAATACCAGCTACAGACCAGACGTGCCACGGAGCTACATTGGAATAAAACCACGCCGCCGGCCACGTGCCCAAAAATGGAGTTGGAGTAAACTATTGGTGAGCTGGCCAAGGGCCAGCCCCTGCGGGGTGGTGGAACTTCGAGTGCGTTTAGGCTAGGAATTGATAGGGAACAGTTAGGAAGTTAGAAGACTGTAAATAAACTCTGGACATAGAAACGAACCCAACGGCGG